TATATATAAAATATATTAAAAAAAGATAAAATGCCAGTACTGCAAGTAAAGACGCATAAATATAAATTAAAAAACTGAAAATAGAATATGGAAGAAAAAATATAAGAAATATAACGGTAAATCCTAAATGTATCAATGATTGATTCAGTTATTTTTAACCCCACAAATTCAGAAACAGCCTGTAAGGTCTATATGTCGTATCTATGTGCAGTCTCTTTAGGCCTTATACTGTGCCCTGTGTTTGTGTCCCTGCACTTACTGCAAGAATGACATTGACCTGCAGCCTCACAGGTCCACGCCCAGAAAATGATCAAAGTTTTATAGCTGAGTGGCTGATCATAAATAATCTTAATGTACATTTCTGCTTTGCATCAGATTTATCCTCAACCCTGCTGAAGGAGAACCATCGATCTTCACATTTGTCTTCCAGACATTTAGTGACATTGATCCAGCATTTTGTGCTTGTCTCCATCGCTCCGCACCAGTCTGCTATGTAATGTCTTCATCGTATCCTCTATCCCTAACCTATTTTGCTGTGTCCATGTAGCTTGGTTTCTAATGGGGCCTTATTAGTAGGCCCACTGCTCAGGGAAGACATTTGATCCTCACTGCAAACCTCCAGTGCTTCATCACAAACCCCGGGACAAAAAAAGGACCCCTCGGAGGACATTGAATGCGCCACACAGTCGGTTGCATTTGACTGCAAACACACGATCTGTAATGTGTCAATAATAAGCAGCCATACTTTATGTTTGACAACCATATATTTCCATAAATTACGGCCTAGTGTCATTATTTAGTTTGCCAATTTTCATGAGGAATAGAAAATCATAAAATCAAATGAAAATCTCTTTGGTTATTTTATTTTTTCCCCCTGTTTTGCAGGATTACGCCTGAAATTAATCTGTCTTCCTCAAAATATTTAAGAGACTGTACTAAATTATTAGTATTATTGGGAGGGTCAGAAAAGAGAGAGTTGTGCTTTGTGTTGTGTTTAGGGTGGAGTGGGGGGGGGGGGNNTATGCAGAGGACAACAATCCTGTTTCGGACCAACTAGTATCTAATAGCACCATGTCAGTTTACAGAATAAACTGTGTCTTTGTGTATATTAGTGATTAAACGCTATCCAACAGATATTACTACTTTCACTTTAATAATATAAAGGAACAAAAACGGCAACATAAAGATTTATATTATTCAAGTTGATCCATCTTAAATTATTTATGTCTTGGCTCTCTTTTTTTTGTTCATATTAATAGAAAACCAAATGTTATTGAACTTTGTGATTGTCAATATAACAAACGAGAGACAGAAAAGGACAGAAACTATTTGAAACACAAAACTGTACGGTTCAGGATAGACAAAGAAAAAAATATTATTTACAACCACATTTGTCACACATTGCACATCATTCTGAGTCAGTTATATCACAACAGCAACCACCATACTGTAGTTGGGCCTGAGCATCTTATAGAGCCTACTTCATATAAAGGTTCTTGCCAAAATTCAAATGAGTGGGCGCCGGTTAGCTCAGTGGGTAGAGCTGGCGACCCATGTACCAAGGCTGAGTGAAGATGTAATAGTAAGTACTAACTCTGCATGTTTGTTGAACCGGACAGAGTGATAATGACTACCCTACGTTTCCATTTTGTGGTCACCTATTCCTTTAAGTTCCATTAGGATCATTAAATCCAGGGACCACAGAAAGCAGCAAGGTCAGAGGATTTTCCTCTCGGTCTCGGCTCCACAAGCAGTGACGTATGTGTGTGTAATTCAGCTTCACCAGCTACTTTTTGCAGGAGCAGGAAAGCAAATGAGAGCTGTCAAGGTCCAACTTGTCAGTGAAGAGTGGGAGACAGAAGGCCACATTGTCCTCAGTGATCTCGGGGCAATATGCCTTGCATCTCATCTCCTGAGGAGGGACAGGCTACACTTCCCTTTACTGAGCACACTCTTTAAATGGCTGAGTTATGTCACCACCGATCAATGCCAAATTTCACCACACCCCCCGTGACTGAAGACGACTTGGTTTTCCTGCCCTTAATCTGAAAATGATAGGCCTGTGGAGACTGTCTAGCATACTGAATCAGACCTACGAATGCAGCATTTCAGATTTATATTTTATAGTGGTAAATCTTTCTTGCTTAGTAGATAAAGATGTTGGTGTAAGGACAGCACTTTAAAGCAAGAAGATTGAAGATTTAAGGGAGGTAGCTTGGTAAAATGACAAATGGCTCCACTAAGAATTACAAGTTTATCTTAATCCAAACAGACAACAAAATCTACACACCACCAAGTGTGTGAGAGAAAATATCCTTCAACATAGTGAACCACTGCCTCCATCTGCTGGAGCAACAACGTCTTACAGTCATACGTCAACCATTTAGTGACAAATAAAGACATGCTTCTCAGTAGAGATTTTTAATAAACGTTTCAATTCACAAGTCATATTGCAGCTGACATGATTAGATTTTATATTACCAAAATTATTGCAAAATGCAGTATCATAAATATATGGCAATCTCATATATACTTTTTTTTGTACATATTCATTTCAAAAGGTCCCTTTGTAAAAAATAAGTGTTTAACCAACCTAAAAGTCTCATGGAAATCTGCAAAATTCAGCACATTATTTTCCTAAGAAAAAGATTTTAAATACAAGCTCTTACTCTATACTTATTTAAAAGGGCTGCGACTATAAAGTGAAAAGATTGCTTTGATCTTGATGTTTTATTGCTAAACAGGCACCCTGATTGATTATCTGAATGAAATATCATAGAACCATTAAGTCCACGCAATGAAAATGTATAATATTTTGACATATATTCAATTAAATAAAGCATATAAAAAAAGGCAATATTGGCAAAAAAAAAAAAAAAAAAGCAGAAGCGTACAGGAATAAGTGCATTTACAAAAAAATAAACTTCCTCTGAATATTTAAAAGATACAAATGTGTGAAACCGGAGTGTGACTGCCCGGCTGAAGAGAGCCGGTGTCAGCCAGGGGAGTGTGAAGGTTAACAGGAAGACCTCACTCTTCTCTCCGTTGGGCATCGTTCTCCCTCCCTCTCTGATTCGATCTCCATCTCCACTTTCTGCTTTTACCCATCAGTCCATCTTCTCATTGATTTCTCTCCTGCTCTTTGTCTCTCAGTGCCAGTCTTCATCGTTGTCATCCTCTGCCTCAGATGAGTCTTCCTGGCTGCTGACCTCCGCCTGCTCCGTCACTCCGTTCCCATTTCCTCCCTGATGAGCCGCCGCCGCCGCTGCTGCTGCTGCCACCACCGCCGCCCTCCTGGCCCGAGCTTCAGCCGCCGCCTGCTCCTCCTCCTCTTTCTGACGCAGCGCTGCCGCCTTCTTCTCCTGCTCCGCATGGCTCTTCATGTGGGCACTTCGACTCTTCACCTTATAAAACACCCTGTGGTACAAGAAGAAAATGATTGTGAAGTTGACTAAACTTTGGTGTAAGGACTGAATTGGAAGGCATACTTGGCAAAATCCTTGTCAGTAATGACTTCAGGCTTATTTGGAGTCAAAGGCTAGAACATATCCAGTGGAGATGGAGCATGCATCAGTTGTGCAACCAATTCACTAATCAATCAAAGTCCACATGCAGATGTTGTGAGTATTGTGTTTGACACTGAAAACCATTATTATAAGTACAAGTAAAGCAGTTTAAACCACAGACAACACTGAATTCATATAAAACCGTACGAAAATATAATATGTAACAATGGTATTGTGAAATAAATACATTCTCAATAAATAATCAAATAAAAAATATTTTTTCATACTATAAAATGTTATTTCACCCTGTTTATTTTCACAATAAGAGTTTATTGCAGTTTCTTTTCTAAATGTCTTTTTCCCCCCAAAATGTCTGTTTTAATTACACAACAAATGTTATCTATATTTCTTTCTTTATTATTTATTCGATAATGTCTAGTTTTATCTATAATTACAAACTTTGGGTTTCCATATTTTTGACCCTTATAAAGATCAACACAAGAGGTGAACCACGTGATGAACTTCTGTAACTGTAACCAACACACTGTATCACTCAGTTATAAACGCAAACAAAGTAAACATCTGTGATGATTTGGTCCGTACCTGCCACATTTCTTGCATGGGAATTCTGCGTCAGGATCCTGCGGGGGCTTTACCGGCGCCCTGCTCTTCTTTGCTGTAGGCTCGGCCCGAGGCCTGTGAGCTGCTGCTGGGTGATGAGCCTCCTTGTTCACAGTGTTCGGCTCTTTAATCAGAATTGTTCCTGCCTGGAGCCCCAAACAAAACAAAAAAAACATGGTTGGAGTTGTGTTTAACTCTTGTGTGAGGGGTACTATGAGCCAGCAAACTGCTTTGCAGATGCTAGAACATGTAGTGAAATACTTACATAGTCATGAGCCTGTAGTGACTGAGCGACCCTCGCCCGCTGGCTGCTCTCGTGGTCGTAAGACATGTCCTTCTTCTCGTCTCCATCCACCAGTTTTAACTGCTGTGAACTCTGCGTAAAGAATCACACCAAAAAAATACACATCATTGCACAAAATATAAGAACCATCCTTAAATTGTCTAATGACCATATGTTGACCCTCCTCCTCAAAGATGAAATACTCATCTTTCTCGTGACATGACTCAATTAATGAAAATACTGTTTAGCACATACATTCGAGAGCATTAACTGGGGATGCACCTTTTTGTTTAGACCAAATACAAGTACTTATTTGGGTATATCCCGATACAGAGTACCGATATGAGTACTTAATAATACCATTACACTTCTAACAATTACTTTTTTTCTTAATTTCATCAGATGTTTCCCACTTTCTGACTGTAACTAATTAAATGTTGCTAATGTTGTTGTAAGAGTTGCTTAAAATATCTCCAAACTGCTGACATTGCTCCTCCTCCGCCTCCCTGCTCAACTAACGAGAGGTTACGTAAAGTCACGCCACCGTAAAGGGGTATCTGGTGCAGTATCGGAGTAGTTTTATGATGACAAGTATGAGTACATAAGATCGGTATCGGACTCAATACTGTTATCACCCTAATATTAATTGACTACCTTTGATGCTTTACCACACATCAGTATTGTACATTTGGGTCTACCTTAACATCCACCACGGCCTCGGTGTGCTTCTCCACCGGTGAATCTGGAGGGCCAAAGGTTAAAATCCCGTTGCGACTGATCTTCACCTGTTTCTTGTATGTGTAGTAAAACTCAACACACTGAGCCACAGTCTTGGTCTGCACCTTTAAACCAGTCCAAAGAAAAACAAACATACACATGCAGAATTTTAAAATCATTAATTAACCTTTTCTTACAATGTGCATTTGTAGCAACCATATACTGATGATAAATAATGTATAATTAATTATCTAAATAAGAAGATATAGAAGAGATGAGTGGCAGCCTCTGTCTGGTGCTAGAAGTGGTGTTGTTACTGTTTCTTTAAAATGAAGACCACATTTACCATAAATCCAGTTACTTCCTGCCACAAGATTTGTTTGTCTTCTTTTTTTTTTTTTTGCATGTTTTGGAACTTAACCCTAAGTTTTAGGTGTTTGTGATGAAGAGCAGCCTCGTCCTGACATTGTACATTGCATTTAAATATAACTTATTGTAAAATTATTGTATATTGTAAAATGCAGCCAGTAACGGCAGAGTATTTTAATGTTCTTTTTTTGTTTCAAGCAATTATACTAATGCTTAAAAATGAATGTGTTAATGATTTATCATTGTTAAATTGCTACACAGAGCTCATTTAATACATTTTTCTTTAAATTATTATTTATTTACATTGATTGATAATCGCTCGTGCTGCAGGGTGAAATTATAGAGCATACCAATTTCTGCACCATAAAGAAGTCCTTCCTGTAGGCAGAGATCCCCTTATTGAAGTAGCGCTTCTCTTCTGCAGTCCAGCAGTCAGAGCCTGTGAGTAAATCAGACGCAGTGCAATTTATTGTGTGCTTACGAGAGAGAATGAGGATAAAATGTGTAAAAAAAAAAAAAAACGAGTTGAGAAATCAGAGAAGAAGACAGAAGGAGGAAGATGAAGAATGCTAACCTGAGTAGTGATAACGTGTCAGGTGATGGCCTTTGGGGAAAACTGTGTCCTGAAGCATCAAACGTCCCAGTGTTTCCTTAAAGTGAACATGATTATTCTTCAACTATACAACAACAATAACAAGTATGCATTTACAGTGAAAATAAGGTTATATTATATATATATGTGTTAATATTAAAGACATTTTAAGATTTTGACAAATTCTGCTAATTTTTTAGGAAACTGATTTAACTAAAAAGTTAGCTTTAAAATCCTGCAAACTGAACTGCAGGGAGCTGAGTGAGGCTTTATGAGTCACTGTACTCACAAGGAAATCCCCTCCACATTCATGTAAACAGTGTAAAACCAACTCCTGGTTGGTTCCTCCGCCTCTGAGCACACTGGAACAAGCCATGTTCATCAAATCCTCCACTGAAAAAAACAACCAAAATGACAAACAGTTTGAGAGAATTAGCTAGGAAGAGGAGGAGGAGATGGTGACAAAAAGCTCACATGACGAAAAGGACAAGAAGGGTCACTGGATGACAGGTAACTTAGGTACTTACTCCTCTCTTGATAACCGGGTTTGAGGCAGGAGTCATCCACAGGGAGCCAAACCAAGTCAGCCTTGTGTTGATCAAACTGGGAGGAAAGTTGATCTTGCAACTCTGGAATTTCTGCCTGGTACTGCTGCCCAATGTTGATGCGCCTGTAAGTACAAACACACACACAAAGAGAGTTGAGGAACAAGCTATTTTCATCAAATCCTCCACTTAAAGAGATGTCTGATAACCTGAGAGGCCTGTTTAGGTGACCGCACTTACGGTTCGAGGCTAACAGCTGTGGCATCGGTGATCAAGGGCAGAACAGGAGGTGTGATATCTGAACTTGCTGAAAACACAAAAGAAATGTTCTCTGTTAAATTTTATCTGAGAGTGCCTCATGAGCAAAATTAGTCTCAGGCCATACCTGTAGCTGCAACAGCTAAGACTTACTGGAGCGCAACAGACTGCGTGACGCAGATTTGGGCGTAGGCGGCGGTGGCAGGATCTGGTTGCTTGCGATGTTTGTCAGGAAGGTGGAGAAGTAGAGTCCTGAGCCCTCACGAACGGGAGATAGGATGGGTGGAGGCGTGTACGGGGGCAGAGTGAGGGGGTTGTCCGGCAGGCGGACGGGGGAGCGCAGGTTGCTCTGGTATGAAGAGATACTGGAGTAGAGGGGTGGAGGGATGAAGGTGGATGGTTTGTGCGGAGGGATGATGAGAGGCTCGGGCCGTGGTCGGCGTTTACATTTGGATTTCCCATCCTCGTCCAGCCCTGGATCGCTTTCCATGTCCTGGATATTAAAAGGATTGAGGTGGTTGAGATTGAAGTTAGTTTGTGTAATGTTTTGCTTAGTTTATGCAAGCGGCAACCTCTGTGGCTGGCAAAAAGAGTCACACAGAAGTAACAAAAACTGCAGTTCCTCAAACGGCCACTCGAGGCTGGCTACTGAAGTGATCAATCTCTACAAGGAGCCTTGAATTTATGCATAATTAAGGGTATGGCCAAGATGGCAGCACTGTGATTCTGTCTGGTCACTCACGTTCCAGACAGACATTCACGTCTGTCACTAAAACAACCTTTAGTTTTACTACACAGGAGATTAAAATGTGCTCTTCTTTGCTAACATGGACCTTTTCCCACATCTGATTGGACCAAAGCACCACTTGCATTGGGGCCTAAATACACTTATTACACGTCTTATTTCTTACACATTTCTTCCTAAATTACTTTCTTAACAACCATGACATAAGTCCACTGAGCAGTTGCTGAATCAGGCTTCATTGTCCACCTACACGCCCAGTTTAAAAACAGCTGTTCATGTAACTCTGGATTTTGGAGAGTACGTGAGTCATGTTATCGTGTAAACCATGCCACACACACACAGTGGATGTTTTTCCTGTCCTAAATCTCAAAGGCTGGATTCTTTGAGGGTGCTTGCACTCATGAGAACTTGAACTCTGAGGTTGCATTTCAAGGGGGTAGTTATATAATGTCTGAATAAACATCTACAACTATGACTTTTGTAGACGCCAAGTACAATTAATCAAGTATTGTACTTAAGTAACATTATACAAGACACTTGTACTTTATTTGAAGACTTTAATTTTATGCTACCTACAATTCTACTTCACAAAAAGGTAAATATATAAGTGGCACATTTGAAGCCAGCAGCCAGTTAACTTAGCTTAACATAAAGACAGGGGGAAACAGGAAATAGTACAGCACATAACCATACGAATTAAACAAAATAGACATTAATGAGCTCATTAGTGAGCTTTAGAGGCGCTGACAGGCAGATTTTTGGACCCTTGGACAGATCCAGGTTAGCTGCTAGCTCTTTATGCTAAGCTAAGCTGACAAAAGCTTTATATTGAGCTATGAGACGGATATGAGGTCAAACCTCTCATCTAACTCTCAGCAAGAAATCAAATAGTCAAATGTATTAAAAATTAACCCCCTTTCGTACATTTACAACATAAAATTTCTGTTCACATGTTGATAAATCAGTAATAATTAGATAATGTAACATATTACTCGATTGTGCTGCATTAAACACACACTTATAGATACTTAATTAATGTAAAACTTAATATTATACTTAAGATAATTTTCTGATAATACTTTCATACTTTGAGTTAAATAAAAAAATCTTAATGCAGGACTTTTACTTTGAAAGGTGAGTTTCTTTTAATTGTGTTGGAACTTAAACATATCTGAACACTTATTGTTCCACTGGAGGCAATATTGACATGTTAAGAGGAAGTGATTAAAGGTCACCCGAAATCTCCTGCTTCACCATTGACTAAAGGATATCAATAATAACAATCAAAACAATGCAAACGTCCTCTCCTTGCAATACTAACCTGTCCAAAACTCTCAGTCATGGAGTTTCTGAGCGATCGCCGACGAGCCACGATGACAGAAGGTTTGCGATCGGACTGTCCTGCAAGCCGCTCGCCCGGGACGAGACGTCCCGGAGCCCAGCCGCCCTGAGGATCTGGTTGAGCCCTGTGCACCGGAACCGATACAGGGATGACCAGAGGCACCATAGTGGCCTGTCTGCCTGAAGGACCATCTTCCTGTTGAGGCACAAAAGCAAAGAGGCGAGAAGATGACGAGAGATGGAAAAGAGAAAGTACCAGGGAAAATTTGGGTAGTAGTTGGAAAACGGAAAAGGGATTGTGTGAATGTACATGGTCATCTACACATAAAGGCATTTTAGGGGGCAAATTAGGAATAATTAATTTATTAAGATTTTTAATTTATAATGTCATAAAACTGATAAAAGGCAGCCAATCCTACCACTTAAGATGCTTGACCCAGCAAAGATTTGGCATTTTCAGTTGACTAAACAACAGAAACAATCAATCGATTATCAAAATGATTGTTGTTTAGTTTGCTGTCGATGGATAATAGCTCATTAGTGGCTACTTTACTTTTAATCTTGCATTTACTGAGCAAAAAGTTGCTTGATTTTAACTTCAAAAGTCTGCAGGGCTGCCTCTGTCAAATGTAACATCAGGATAACACAGTTTACACAGATTACCGCAGTAATGTTACAGTTTTATTACCACATATTTCCATTGAAAGGAGTGCACATGCCTCCTTGGTATTTCTGGTCAAGCTGATAAAATGTCCAGCTTTCCTAAATTCTACTAAGGGAAGTTTAACATATAAATCAGTTTTATGATTTATACTTCAGGCAAAAGGTTAGCGGAGTGCTTGTTAACCACAATACAGCAGCTCCGGGTTGTGAATGGCAATATTAAACCTGTTTGGCATGTGTCGGGGAGTGTAGGTGTGTGGCTGTGCAGGCTGACAGCTCGGCCCCTCCCTGGCTCTGCTGAATGACTGGGAAAGAGCCTGAGGAATGTGGAGGTGTGCAGACATGCAGCTGCCCAACTGTATATCCAGCATGCACTGCACACTCTGCACAAAAACATATGACAAGCATGATAACCACCCCCGAGGGGACAGCGCTAAATGCCCTTTTTCTAAGAAGAAAAAACTGAATTTAGTTGGTTTTTGTGCTTAGTCTCTGTTTAACAAAGAGTAACGCAAGTAAGAGTAAATAAAGAAGCCAGTTGCAGTGGGTGTGCCACTTAAAATGTAAACTTCATAAATCCTGAACAACAAGATTAAAGCGTATCGCCTTTTGTCATAGCAACGACGGTAAAACAAGAGCAATATTTCAAATCAAAAATTAGGAATCTTCAATAATAGCCGTTTTTCAGGTTCGCCAGTATCTGTGTACGACAGTGTACTGTATAGTACGACTGCATACTTGTAAAACAACCTGCTATAGCTGACACTTTGACAGTTGTAGGAATCAAGTAAAAAGACCTAAGAAAAGAGTTTTGTAAACCATAGAGAAGTTCTGCATAGAAACAGGGCTCTTCCTCTTTGTACAGCTGTTTGCCAACTTTGCCAAATGAGTAAATGTGCTCATACATGCACAGATTAGCTGATCTTGCCTTTCTTCCTCAAGTAAAGCCTAAAGCGAGTATTTAAATTGATATTTTGTTGTAAATAAGCAGGAAATTAAAAGTACAGCAGCAGAGTAATGAGTGATTTTCTTAACCTTGACAAGTTTCTCCATTTCTGATGCCTTCTGGGCCAGAGTCTCCAAGTTGATCTCCTTAGACGCCCTCCTTCTCCTACTGGTGACCTTGATAACTCCTGTTGTGACTTGGCTTTCCCCTCCTCTCACAGCCGGAACGCCTGCTACTCCGTTTTGGGGCGGTGGAGGCTCTTTGGTTGTTTGAGACCAGATGTTTGTCGGAGGGGGACCCAGTGGGGACTGTCCATCTCTGGAAAGACGGCGTGAGCGCCGGGGTGCAGCCGGCAGTGCATCGGAAGGCTCTGCGGGATTTGTGGCGACCTTTTCGGGGCACTGACCCGGTACAGATGATACATCACTGGTTTGAGCCTCTGGTTCCTGCTGTGGCTCCACAGACTGGACAACCTCCTCTTTAGGCACAGTGTCAGGAGGACAGGGTTCAGGAGGCTGATAAGTCACAAAGTTTTGGGTCGGTTGCTGTTTCGGTTGCACCTGAAGTTGTGTTGTTTCTTGCTGTGGTGCATTTTGGTGCTGCAGTTGCTGCTGCTGTTGCTGCTGCTGCTGCATTTGCTGCATTTGTTGCTGCCGCTCTTGAAGCTGTTGCTGGTGATACTGTTGATGCATCTGCTGCAGTTGTTGCTGTTGGATTTGATGCTGTTGGATTTGTTGCTGCTGTTGCTGCAAATGTTGCTGCTGTTGCAACTGAAGGTGATGCTGCTGATGTATCTGCTGTTGCTGCTGGTGATGGTGATGCATTTGTTGCTGCTGCATCTGATGGAGCAGTTGCTGTTGAGTTTTAGGCTGCTCGCTGTACGCCAGGCTCGGCACGCCCTTATTGCCTGGAAAAACAGAGTAATAACCGGATGAAAACTGTTGCTGCTTGCTGGGTCTAAATGTTGCCTGGAAGGGCTGCAGCATGGACCCCTGCAAAGCGTGAGGAGGTACATGTGGCTGACCTTGGATCTCCACACCTTTGTGTGTGTGTTGATAGGCCTGCAGCTGAGTCTGGTGCATTGCCGCCGCAGCGTGCTGCTCCCACTCGAGCCCCCTCCCCTGAGCTTGGGCCTGGGTGGCATCTCTATAAGCCTCAACTGGCCCTGGCAGTTGGTTTTCTGCCCCCATCGGCAGAGCTACACCCTCATGAACTCCTTTGTGGAACACCATCTGACCCCTGACATTCACTCCACTCATATAGGGGCCAAAGTTCTGGCCCCAGGCTGGCACAGGAGCTTCCTGAGACCAGCCGGGGGCCTGTATGGAGTCCTGGTGCATCCACTTTACTGGAGCAGCCTGTTGATAGTGCGGTAGACTTTGGGGCCCTTTCTCGGGGTTGTAAACACCAGAGCTGCTAGCAGAGTCACTGTGGCTCGACTCTAAAGCCGGAGGTCCCATACCATAATAAACCTCACCTGAGTGCTGCACAGGCTCTTTCATGGCTGCAGCCCGATGCTTGCCACTCTTGTCAGTATTAACTTGAGGAGGAAGACTCATAGTAATATTATATGGTACAAAAATGTTGGAGTCAGAGCTCTCAATCTTGATCTGTGAGCATGCAAACAGCTCAGTTATTGCCTCTGTAGTGTGCTTTCAATGCCTGGGGCTGAGGAATTCTCTGTTTAATTGTGTATACGGAGGTATTTGGGAGGAAATGTAAATCCCAAAGGAAAGTGCAGGGCGGGGAGAAAGCAACCCTCCTTCCAGAATCAAATATGAGGTTTGCTGTCCATTCTTCTCATCCTCTTTATGGTGCCGGACCTTGTGAGAGAAAGGAGGGGTTAGACACTTTCTTTTTCTCTGGGGACAAGCATACAAAAGTTTTTCAGTCGTGTGCAGCAAAGAGGAAATCGAGGCCTACACAAGCAAATAGCCCTGTCAGTAAAAGTGAAAACCAGTCAGAGAGCATGTCTCTGGGTGTAAAGCGCTTGGAGGAGCAAAACCTATATATTTCGATAATTACGTCCAGGTGCGTGCAAGAGAGGACGTTACGAGCATAAGAAGTTTGGAAGCGGAGCAGCCACAGCAACAAGGAGGCGCCTACAGTGCAGCTGCCATTTGGCACAACAAGAAATACAGGAAACGAAGGGACTCGTGCAATCACCCGAGCGATAGCCAGTGATGTTATGTAGAAAAATCAGCAATAAGGAAGCGCCCGAAGAGCAGAGTACTATTAGGCAACACAGCACATTAGTGGACATTAAGTTAAACAGTGTATGTACCTTATCAATGGTGCACAGAGCTCCCCATGGCCAGCTCCATGGAGCCACTTTGGTTTCGATCAAAGTCGACTGCATGCAGCCCCATGAAGAGATTGTGCGCAGCAAATGTCATAACTCTCTTGACAACTTTCCCCTCGAGTTTCACAGCGCGCAATATGGCGAACGAGCGACTTTCCAAGCCCACGAAAACACAATCCAAAGTCCGCACAGAGGCTGGAAGTGCTCATTAAACGCGGCGGTTACAATGTTGCACACTGTATCCGTCAAAACCGTGCACTTGAGGAAAACATGTCCACAACTTTCTCCCCGCACCGACGAGTAAAACCACACATGAGACGGTGGCTGTGTGAGAACTGTGCCGTGCAGCGGCCTGTTCGGGTACTTTCGCAGATTTGCGCACTGCGCCGCAGAGCCCCGCGCGACCTGCGCTCACTGTTTTTTCGGGTTATCCAGAGTGGATGAAGAGCTGCGAAAACTGCGGAAACACGCAGAAAGTTGTGCACCCCGAGAACGCACCGCCTCACCCCAAAACAGATCAACTCACATCCTGTTATCCAATCCGATTGTCTGGCCACTCCTATCGCTGTATCCGTGTGCGTTTGTTTTGCTCTCCCGGGTTGCCCCGGAAAGCGGAGGTTCGAGCTCAGCACACGGAAACAGTTAGTTGAAGTGACACTGAACAGGGGCCAGTTTACAGGAGAGCTTCACATTTGGTTAAATGTTTTTTTAATCATTTGGATCTTTTTGGATATTTCAGAAAATTCTTTCCTCGTTTATTAAACAGTTGTATGACACAGAGTGATGAGTGTTGTCTGCTTGACCAGGAGTTGCTTCTGATAGGAAAGATATTTAAATTGTTGTATTTATTTATTCTCATTTTTCCAGTGGCACTACCAAAGGGTGGCCAAGAGGTCCCACCACCCTGATACTATTGTTGGCCCCCAACACTGGAGTTACATGTGTATAATATGCTTCTATCTGATGCTTTTGATGTACTATTCATTTATATAAGTAATGTATATTTTTCACAATAGTTCATGTGAAGGAAAATAAATGGCCAACTGTGTGGACTTTAAAGGACCAGTGTGCAGGATTCAGTGTCAGATTGCAACTAACTGAACACCGCTCGCATCTGTATTTGACGACCTGGTAATGAGAAACTACAGTGGCCTTGAAACTCTACAACCAGTGTTTGGTTTGTCCGTTTTGGGGCACTGTAGGAACATGTCGGTTCAACATGGCGTCCGTAGATAAAAACGACTCATTCTAAGGTAACAAAAATGCAATGATTCTTATTTTCAGTGATTATACACAAATTAAAACATACCTATTAATATTATATTCTATTTCTGCCAATAGATCCTAAATGTTAAACACTGGAGCTTTAAGGTCACGTGTGCAAAATTAATACATTTGCTTCCTTTAGTGACTAAAGCTCTGAGTCACTTTGTTTGTTTCCCATTTACCGTAATCCAAAGTGTCTGTATTTGACGCCCTGGCTGGGAGTGAGACTCATCAATCAGCTATCTTTCTCCAGAGGGACTCACCCCACCTTAAAGGGCCTGAGGTGGAACATTTAGGAGGATCTATTCCGGGAATTAAATGTTTTCATTCGTGTATAATCACCTGAATGTAGGAATTGTTATGTTTTTGTTACCTTAGAATCGAGCCTTTTATATCTAGAGCTGCTGCAGGTTGCCTTCCATGGACTGCGGGTTTCTACAGTAGCCGAGAAGGGACAAACTAAACACTAAATGGTTTCTCATTTGTGCTTGGAAGGGGAGGATAAAACAAGGGAGTTACAATCCGCTATATGCCACTAAATCCTACACACTGGATGTTTAAGCAGGGGCGTTTCCAGAGGGGGGGCCTGAGGTGGCACTGGGAAGGGAAGCCTTAATAACGCTCCACAGTTATGCTTCATTTTAGCGATGGCCATTTTCAAAGCAATCCCTTGACCTCTGACCTCAGGATATCTGAATGAAAATAGATTCTTCTATATGTACCCACAAGTCTCCCCTTTATTGCAGACATAAAACTGTGCAGTTTTTTGCACAGTATAAAAGTGTTATTACTGCCGACTACTACTACTACGTAAGTCAGTGCCCCACTTAGAGTCTAAAAATGTTATTTAAGTAAAGTTTTGACTGCAGGACTTGTTGTTTATTACACTATGGACCACTCGTATCTGCACCGCTGATATAATCTTGACTGACCATCATGTGCAGCCAATGAATTTACACTCTGCCTCTTACTCCATGGTCTCGTTCACATTCATTAACACAATAACATGAAACACTTTCACATGCAGACAGGTAATTGACTCAAACCTCTACAGTATGTACATGTATGTTGTATAATAATCAGTCTACACGCACAGACATGAAACACATGTGGTGATCTGATCATCATGTTTCATGTGTGTCATTGTGCACCTTCACTAGATCTACCTGTGTTGTGCATACTGCATATACTATACTGTATATACTGTATATACTGTATATATTGTATATAATAGTATTCTGCTTAATGTTTAGCTGATATATTTAGTAAATAACGCATATATGATTATTTGTATATATTGGTATATGTTATACGTTAAAAAAATATTTAGTTATCTGGCATATACTGCATATCTGTATATATTGTTTACTCATATACTGTTATTTGTATTTGTTGTTACTGACATATCTGTTTTTGTATATACTGCATATATGTATGTCTGTATCATATTGTATTACTGCATATACTGTTATTTGTATTATTGTTTACTGTTTACTGTAATATTATTGTAATACTGCATATATGGCATATACTGCGCATATACTGTATATATTGTAATATACTGTATATACTGTACTATAGCTGTATATACTGTAATTATACAGTATATGCAGTACGGAGTAATTACTGTATATGCAGTATATACTGTAGCTGCTATAAGTATATCTGGCATATATTTGTATATACCAGTCATATCCACTACCTCTTGTAACATAAAGTCAATATTTATTTCAGGCATCCTTTGCACTCCCTTCACGCCATCGCAAATACTGTCTACAAATGTTATTATTTTTTGTTTGTATACATATAACTCAAAGTCAGATTCTTTATTTGTGTGCAATAATACACACCAGAATATACAATAATATAAAATTAATGACAGTATGCATATTTTAGTATTATTGTATATTTTATATTTATCGTCTATCTTTTTTAGCATTAGTAATGTCTTATCACCGTGGAGAGTGAGAAAACGTCTCCCTCCGATTTCCTTTGTATGTCTGCTGCAGGTGAGAAACTGAACATTAAAGCCTGACTTTGACTTTGATACCCTGGCCTAATAAGTGATTCTGATTCAAGTTTTGCCATGTATAAGGATCGAGGTCGGCTGCCACCACTGTCCACCAAAGCACGGTCTAATCGCTCACTTTCTTAACCTTACTATTATCGATCATCTTCTGCAGGCAGGCCTGTTTGTTTTTCACTGCACTGTCTGGTGCCAGTGCGTTTCGCTGTACTGGTCGTTGTAAAGCCTGGCTTGCTTTCACTTCTTTAATTTGCAACGGACATTACATTATTGTTACATCTGACTGCGAGCTCCTCCCCACACATCTGTTGTAACGTGTGTGTGTGTCTGTGTGTGTTGTTGTCTGTGTGTGTGTGTGGTGTGTGTTAGGTGAAGGGTTACCAATATGTTACGAGGGGCACCAGAACTCACTGGATGCTCCTGCTTTTATTTCTATTCATGAACACAGCTGCTCATTTTTTAATGCGCAGTTCCTCCTCCTTTATGTAGTTGTTTTCCCTCCCTTTCTATCTCTCTTCTCTCTCTCTCTCTCTTCTCTCCCTCTCTCTCTCTTCTCTCCTCTCTCTTCTATCTCTCTCTCTCCTCTCCCTCTCTCTTCCCTCTTTATGTAGTGTTTTTCTCTCTCTCTCTCTCCCTCTCCTCTCCCATCTCCTTCTTCTCTCCTCATCTCCCTTCCCATCTCTCCCTCTTCTCTTCTCTCTCTCTCTCTCTTTAATGTAGTGTTTCTCTCCCTCCTCTTCTCTCTATCTCCTCTTCTCCCTCTTTATGTAAGGTGGGTTTTTTTTTTTTTTCTCTCTCATCTCTC